AGATCGGCCATATAAAAAGCCGAATGGGAACCAACCCGCAACCGGAGGGCCGAGTAAACAATCAAGTGCGAGATTAAGAATGGGCCCGACCCTTGGGCCAAAAGGGTAATATTAAAAGAGGAACATCAACCAAAGAGAGGTATGTGAGAATAAATAAAATAACTTGAGATAGAAGTAAACTTGAGAGTATACTAACTTGTTCGTCGGAGTGCTAATTCTGGCACTCCTGACCGGAGTGTTCATTCCTTTTTTAGGTAGCAATCAGAGGATTAAGGATGTCTGACTGGATCCTAGAGTATTTCTAAACCACTTCTCCATAATTAGCGCCGTCTGTGGGAATACACAAGCACATCCATGACGGGTGTAACAGATAATCCTCCGGTAGTCGCTGACGACATTACGCCAAGAGATGATATCACTCCAAGAAACATGCTTGGATCGGAGAATACCACCGCACGACGGGCCTTGAACTTCGACTCAATAGCCCAGACCTCACCCTCAACTTCGGTGCAAGAGACAATGCAGACAATCATGGATCAAGCAAAGCAAAATGAACAGCGTCTGGAAAACATGATGGCTAAGAACGAGCACTTACGCTAGGAATTGGCCCTGGAGCTAGCCAAATCCCAACAGGCCGCATGCCATGACCTGGGTCAACCCCCAAGAAGGAAGGATGATCGACGGCGTCGACTTCAAAAACACAATAATGACAGTGATTCTAACTCACCATCCCAGGAACCCAGAAAAAAAGGACGAGTCGATATATCCAGCTCATCCGAAGGAAATTTGTATGTATGGCACAGGCGAGGGGAAAAAAGTGATAATTCGGATAAAGAAAACAAGCATGACCCTTTTGTGAGACGCATCGCAAGGGCTGTGCTACCCAAGAAGTTCAAAGCACCATCGTTTACCCAGTATGACGGAAAATCAGACCTCACTGACCATATTTGTCATTATAAACAAGCGATGACACTGTATGCTGACGATGAAGACCTCATGTGTCGAATGTTTCCAAGTAGTCTGGAACCACTGGCCGTCAGATGGTACTATAAACTAGAGTCGGCATCGATAAAAAGCTTCCATCAACTCTAAAAATCCTTCAGGGAAAGATTCATCACTAATGAAATCTAGCCAAAGCAAGCCGATTCTCTCTGGGCAATGCAAATTAAACCAGAAGAAACTCTTCGTGAATATTCGGCACGCTATTGGGAATGTTTTAACCTGGTAGATGATGCCTGCAATGACTCCATGGCCATTATCGCCTTTAAAATGGGATTACATCCTGATAGTACCCTTTGTAGTTCGTTGACCAGACGACCCCCCAAAATAGTTTGGGCATTAATGAAGAAAGTTGAAGAATATTATAAGGTGGAAGACGATGCCCTGCAGGTCAAAGTCGGACAGAAAGTCGTTAAGACAGCTCCGTCTGGAATCGTTTAGCCGATAAGCGTCATGCCGTCAAGGAGCCCTGAATCACAAAATCAGGCTAAACAAGACAAAAGGCGTGACTCGTGCTGATCAAGTGATCAGTGTTCACATCGATCAAATAAACAATATCAAGTGGATAACATGTGCATAAGACGCTAGGACAAGAAGTACACTGAGTTAGTAGAGCAGATCAGCAAGATTTTGTCAAAAGTTCAACACCTTCCGTTCTTTAAATGGCCGTCCAAAATAATGGGACCTCTCGATACAAGGAGAAGAGACAAGCGGTGTGAGTACCACAAGGACCATGGTCATGAAACTGACAGTTGTTATGCACTGAAAGACCATCTAGAAGAGCTTGTACAAGACGGCCGACTAGCCCAACACGTCTGAAAGAATAATCCATCGAACACGGTAGCCCTACGATTGAATTCACCTCCACTTGGTGTAATTCACATGATATACAGCCTGCCCTCATCAGTCGAGGTACATACAATTCAATTGTAACCTAGCCTGCATAGGCCAATCACACCAGCAAAACGGCCCCATAAAACTAGAAGGATTATTTTTGACGACACCAACTTAGTTGGAATAACTTTTCCCTATACCGATCCCCTCGTCATCGAGCTACGTGTGAACAGATTCATTATTGAACGTGTTCTCATTGATCAGGGAAGCACTTCGGAAGTAATGTATTACAAAACGTTTGTTAAACTTGGCTTCACTGACTCGAATTTGTCGCCGACCGATTACCCATTATTCGGCTTCAACTCTAACCCCGAGTATCCTTTGGATAAGATTACACTACCAGTTCGGGCGGGTACCAGATCAGTAGATGTAGAATTTTTTTAAAAACTTGACACGACACATTTGTTGTCAAATAATAATGTCTGAAATGTAAAATTGTCCTTGCAAAATTAAGGGTAAGGTCTCGGCTCTTTTTTGGTTACCTTTTAATTGGAGACATAAATCTCATCATTTTTTTATTTTATTTTTTTTTATTTTTTTTGGTGTGTTTGGAAATAAATTATGTCGAGTTCCAAGTCAACGTCAAACTTGTTTCCATGGTAGGAATTGTTAACAAGTGAACGCTTTGTAACAGGTACACTTGCATTTCATGGGTGAAATGACTAACATTCCACTCTGAACCATGTTGACACTACCTGCATAACACACTTCGTAGAATTAGTGTTCTACTTCTTAAATATATGTTAATCATTAGGGTGATTCTATTTGCACCATTGTTTTATCTCAGTACACTCGATCTTCTAATTGCACCTTCTAAAGAAATTTTAAATGGGAAAAAGTATCAGTTTACATTCTCCATAGTACCAAACATACCCTCATCCCAAACATTACTTCTTCTCTTTACACCCCTTCTTTTTCTCTCTCCTCTCATCCCTCTTTTTCCCTCTTTCCTTCTCTCTTTTCCATCTTTTTCATTCGGCTCTAGCCAGCCAAATGGACCAAAATTGGCAAAAATGGTGGAGGTGTTGGGAGTTACAGAAGGGTTGAGAGAGTGAGAGAAAGAGAAGGGGGCAATGGTTGGTAGAGGAGAAGGGGTCACACCCCAAATCCGGATATAACCGGCCGTGGCCCACAGGGCCTTAGCCCAAGGCACTCGTAAGGCTAAACATGAATCCATAATCACATTGAACAACTAAACAAAAGTCCAATAATAAATAATCAAACTCAATCTAGTGACATACCACAAGTGTAAACGGCAAAGCCAACCGTAATCAATACTATCTAAACTTATGGGATATAAACAACTCACATATCAAAATAATCCTTGTGGGGGCCGAATAATTATATACTAAGGAAGGCCAAGAAATTTGAAGGCATCAGGCCAAAGGCAATTCGGCTATAATCTAGGGGCTCTTAAAGCCGAATATACAGATCGGCCATATCAAGAGCCGAATGGGAACCAGTATGCAACCAAAAGGCCGAGTAAGCAATCAAGTGCGAGATAAAGAGTGGGCCCGACCCTTGGGCCCAAAGGGTAATATAAAAAGAGGAACGTCAACAAAAGAGATGTATGTGAGAATAGATAAAATAACTTGAGATAGAAGTAAACTAGAGAGAAAATACTAACTTGTCTGTTGGAGTGCTAATTCCAACAATCTCGACCGGAGTGTACATCCCTTTTTCAGGTAGAAATCAGAGGATCAAGGACGTCTGATTGAATCTTGGAGTATTTCTAAACCACTTCTCCACAATTGGTGCCGTCTGTGGGAATACTAAAGCTCATCTATGCGGGCGTAACAGATGATCCTCCTTTAGTTGCTGACGACGTTACACCAAGAGATGACATCACTCTAACAAACATGCTTGGACCGGAAAATATCAAAGCGCGACGGGCCTTGAACTTCGACTCAATAGCTCAGACCTCACCCTCAACTTCGGTGTAAGAGACGATGCAGACAATCATGGATCACGGAAAGCAAAATGAACAGCATCTAGAAAACATGATGGTTGAGAATGAGCGCCTGCACCAGGAATTGGCCCTAGAGCTAGCCAAATCCCAACAGGCCGCATGCCATGACCTGGGTCAACCCCCAAGAAGGAAGGATGATCGACGACGTTGACTTCAAAAACACGATAATGACAGTGATTCTAACTCACCATCCCAGGAACCCAGAAAGAAGGGACGAGTCGATATATCCAGCTCATCCGAAGGAAATCCGTATGTACGGCACAGGCGAGGGAAAAAAAGTGATAATTCGGATAAAGAAAACAAGCATGACCCTTTTGTGCGACGCATCGCAAGGGCTGTGCTACCCAAGAAGTTCAAAGCACCATCGTTCACCCAGTATAACGGAAAATCAGACCTCACTGACCATATTTGTCATTATAAACAAACGATGACACTGCATGCTGACGATGAAGACCTCATGTGTCGAATGTTTCCAAGTAGTCTGGAACCACTGGCCGTCAGATGGTACTATAAACTAGAGCCGGCATCAATAAAAAGCTTCCATCAACTCCAAAAATCCTTCAGGGAAAGATTCATCACTAATGAAATCTAGTCAAAGCAAGGCGATTCTCTCTGGGCAATGCAAATTAAACCAGAAGAAACTCTTCGTGAATATTCGGCACGCTATTGGGAATGTTTTAACCTGGTAGATGATGCCTGCAATGACTCCATGGCCATTACTGCCTTTAAAATGGGATTACATCCTGATAGTACCCTCTGCAGTTCGTTGACCAGACGACCCCTCAAAATAGTTTGGGCATTAATGAAAAAAGTTGAAGAATATTGTAAGGTGGAAGACGATGCCCTGCGGGTCAAAGTCGGACAAAAAGCCGTTAAGACAGCTCCGTCTGGAATCGTTTAGCCGATAAATGTCGTGCCGTCAAGGAGCCTTGAATCACAGAATCAGGCTAAACAAGACAAAAGGCGCGACTCTTGCTGATCAAGTGATCAGTGTTCACATCGATGAAATGAACAATATCAAGTGGATAACAGGTGCACAAGACGCTCGGACAAGAAGTACACTGAGTTAGTAGAGCAGATCAGCAAGATTTTGTTAAAAGTTCAACACCTTCTGTTCTTTAAATGGCCACCTAAAATAATGGGACCTCCCGATACAAGGAGAAGAGACAAGCGATGTGAGTACCACAAGGACCATGGTCATGAAACCGACAGTTGTTATGCACTGAAGGACCATCTGGAAGAGCTTGTACAAGACGGCCGACTAGCCCAATACGTCCGAAAGAATAATCCATCGAACACGGTAGCCCTACGATCAAATTCACCTCCACTTGGTGTAATTCACATGATATACAGCCTGCCCTCATCAGCCGAGGTACATACAATTCAGTTACAACCTAGCCTGCATAGGCCAATCACACCAGCAAAATGGCCCCATAAAACTAGAAGGATTGTTTTTGACGACACCAACTTAGTTGGAATAACTCTCCCTTATACTGATTCCCTCGTCATCGAGCTACGTGTGAACAGATTCATTATTGAACGTGTTCTCATTGATTAGGGAAGAACTTCGGAAGTAATGTATTACAAAACGTTTGTTAAACTTGGCTTCACTGACTCGAATTTGTCGCCGACCGATTACCCATTATTCGGCTTCAACTCTAACCCCGAGTATCCTTTGGATAAGATTACACTACCAGTTCGGGCGGGTACCAGATCAGTAGATGTAGAATTTTTGGTTGTCAAACTTCTTTCACCATACAATCTCATCATGGGAAGAACTTGGTTGCATACCATGCAAGCTGTGCCAAGAACCTACCATCAATTACTTCACTTTCCGACTGAGTATGGCATTGAACAAATTCGGGGTTCTCAGAAATCGGCACAAGCATGTTACCTTGTTGCTGCTGCAAAGAGACCAAAAGAACTGGAAGTGAATTCGATTGAAGTACCGGATTGGGAGAGCCTCGAGGACATTGGAAAGATCCCTAGCGAAAAAGAAACTGAAGACCTGGATCGGGTCGAAATTAATGGGAATCCTGACAAGTTCTTCATGATCGACACTTCCTTGAACGAAGTTGACAGGCACGAGCTTGTATCCTTCTTACTCGGCAACCTCGACGTGTTTGTGTGGACACCATACAAGATGCCAGGGGTGGATCCATCTGTGGCCCGGCACCGCTTAATGTTGATCCAAAATGTAAGCCAATGATTCAGAAAAGTCTGCGGTCAGCCGTGGAGCATGCTTCGGCCGTTATTGAAAAAGTTGATCGATTGCTTGATGCCGGGGCAATTCGTGAAGTAACCTATCCTACATGGTTGTCCAATACTATGGTTATAAAGAAGAAGCATGGATCTTGGCATGTTTGTGTGGATTTCACAGATTTAAACAAAGCTTGTCCCAAGGATTGTTTTTCTCTCCCCAGAATAGACCAACTCATAGATACAACGACACATCATCAACGCATAAGCTTCTTGGACGCCTATAGAGGCTATCATCAAATTTCTATGCATTTGGAGGATCAAGAAAAGACCGTATTCCTCACCCCATGAAGAACCTATTGCTACAAGGTCATACATTTCAGGCTGAAGAATGCAGGGGCAACTCACCAAAGACTGGTTCCTGCCATGTTCAAGGAACAGCTTGGCCGCACCATGAAGATATACATCAACGACATGGTGGTCAAATCCAAGGAAAAGCACACCCACTTAGCCGAATTGGCAGATACATTCGGCATTCTTTGAAAGTACAAAATGAAATTGAACGCCTCAAAGTGTGCATTCGGCATCGGATTAGGCAAATTCCTCTGCTACATTGTTAACCACCGCAGAATAGAGGCCTACCCGAGGTAGATCACAGCAATTCTAGAACTTGGTTCTCCTCAGTCGGTCAAAGAGGTTTAGAAGCTGATGGGAATGGCCGTCGCGCTTAACAGGTTTATCAACCATTCCGTAGATCGCTAACGACAATTCTTTCACACACTTCGGCAAGACAAAGCTTTCGAATAGACCCCTGAGTGCCAGACCGCTTTGGATGGCCTGAAAACTTATCTCCGATCAGTACCACTCTTGGCAACCCCCTCAGCAGACAACCCGCTCATTTTTGTATTTGGCGGTATCTGACCGGATGGCCAGCGCCATACTTTTAAGGGAGAAACTAGGGAAGCAGCGACCAGTTTACTATGTAAGCAAAGCAATAGCTGACGCCGAGACAAGTTATTTACCACTGAAAAAGCTCATCCTTGCTCTCGTTATGGCTGCAAAAAAACTGATGCATTACTTTCAGGGGCACATCATAGGTGTACTAACGGACTATCCCCTCCGGTCGACGCTCCGTAGCGCGGAAGCATCAGGGCGCATTACAAAATAGGCTTTGGAACTCGGCCAGTATGATATCCAGCTTTTGCCTAGAACTGCCATCAAAGGGCAAGTGCTCGCCGACTTTGTAGCCGAATTCAAGGGATGCCTTGCCGATTTCAAGTCCGATCAAGTATAACCTAAACCCAACTGGAGAATATATGTTGAAGACATTTGGCAGATGTACTGTGACGGGTTATCCAACCAATGTGGCAGTGGGGCAGGCGTAGTAATTATGACCCCCGAAGGGACAATAATCGAGCAGGCGGTTAAACTGGGCTTTGATGTATCAAATAATGAGGCCGAATACGAAACATTGTTAATTGGCCTTCGAAACGCACTTCACCTCGGTGCACGGCGGTTGCTTGTTTTCTGTGACTCAAAACTAGTCATTAACCAGTTGAAAGGGGAGTATGCAGCTAAAAATGACCGCATGGTAGCCTACATGACAACGGTGAATTCCTTGCTCGTGAAATTCGACCACCACGAATTGAATCAAATAACTCAGGATTAGAACACGCATGCGGATGCCCTTGCTTGCGTAGCCTTTGCCATCAATTCAGAAATCAAACGGATAATCGAAGTAGCATTCATCCTTGAGCCGAGCATTATCTCTTTTGAACCAATTCAGATTAACATCATTGAATCCGGACCAAGTTGAATGGACTCTATCGTTGCATTCCTTCTCGCAGAACAACTCCCAATAGACAAGAAAGAAGTCCACAAACTGCGAAATAAAGCCCTGTGATACTACTTAGATCTGCATGGAAAACTCTACAAAAAATCCCTTTCTGGGCCGTACTTAGAATGTGTTCACCCAGATAAAGTTAAGGAACTCTTAACTGAAATACATGAAGATAGCTGTGGTGCCCATTCTAGAGGATGCTCATTGGCCCACCGAGCCGTAACACAAGGGTATTATTGGCCAACCATGCAAACAGGTACCGAGAATTATGTCAAGAAATGTGAACAATGCCAGAAGCTTTCCCCTTTAACTCATCTGCCTGCCGAGGAATTAAATTCTATCACTAGCCCTTGGTTGTTCACTCACTGAGGACTCGATATCATCGGACCACTACCACGAGCTCCAAGAAACAAGCGATTCCTGGTTGTCGCAACAGATTATTTTACAAAATGGGTTGAAGCAGAGGCCTTAACATATATTCGAGATGTCGATGTTAAGCGTTTTGTATGGAAAAACATCATCACACGATTCGACACACCAAGAGCACTTGTCTCAGACAACGGCACCCAATTTGATTGTGGCGTCTACCGAGAATTATGCAACACGTATGGTATCTGGCCTTACTTTTCCTTGCCGACAAAGCAATGGTCAGGCAGAGGCCTCCAATAAAGTCATCCTGGATAGCATCAAGAAAAGGTTGGAAAAAGCTAAAGGTAGATGGGTCGAAGAGTTGCCCAGTGTGTTATGGGCTCATCGCACTACTCCAAGGCGATCCACTGGAGAAACGCCGTTCACTTTGTGCTTTGGAACCAAGACAGTTATCCCCCTGGAGATTGGCCTACCCACGCTGAAATCCAAGGTTTTTGACATGGGCCGTAATGACATGATATTGGCCTTGGACTTGACTCTGATTGAAGAATGCTGAGATCGTGCCCTTGCTTGTGTGGCGCGGTATCAGCAACAGCTCGCTAAATCATATAATCAACGCGTGTAGTTGGGTCGTTATATTCCTGGAGAATTGGTCCTTAAGAAAATGCTTCCTGCTACTGCTTGTGTTCTTTAAAACTTTTGGTAAGTGTATTGGAACCATTTATTCTATTTTAGGAACCTTTGGTGTTGTTTTGGGTTGGTTTTGGAGGAGTACAATTCGATTTAAACTTGTTGGGTTTGGTTGTTCGCACTTATTCTTGTCAAAAGTTCCTTGGAGACTTAGAAATTTCATTCTAGCATCGACTCTTACTTGTTGGTGAAGTTCTGGAAGTGTTGCTGGAAGATAGGGTAGACACCAGACTGGAAAAGGGTTGACCCTCTTATGTCTGTGTGTTAGTTGCTGGAAGACAGGGTAGACACCAGACTAGGAGAGGGTCAACCCTCCTATGTCTGTGTGTTGGTTGCTGGAAGATAGGGTCGACCCCCTCCTGTCCAAGGGTTGACATCTGCGTGTTTTTCTCAGATTTTTGAGGTCTGAATAGGACCTATAAAAGGGGGTTTTTAGGCCCATTATTTTATTTGACTTTAGGGCTTTTCCTCACTACTATAAATAGGCCCAAACCATCTTTTCCCTCATGATTTTCTTTCCATTTTTCCTCTCAAACGGTGATCCCTCTCTTCTCTCTCTAAAACTCAACTGTTTTCACTTAAATCCCTAGATCTACTCACCTAGAGTGATCTTCTCACCTTGCTCCTTTGGGATACATTGTAGAGCTTGTCGAGGGCTTCATTTTGATTGGAGCAAAACGTCGTTTCTCCTCCGTCGACTTTTGGGTTTTTCTTCATTCTTCCTTCTTCCTCTCCTAAGCTTGAGGTAGGGATATTCTACTCTCTTATATGGGTTTTAACATAAATATTGTCATTTTGTATAAATGGTGTGATTTGGAAAGGTTTTTGGTGAATCTTTGGTTGGTTTCTATATACATAAAATAGGGGTTTTCTATTTGGGCTCCTTATGGGCATGAGGGGTCTTGAACATGTTATGGCTTGAGAAGGATTGATGAAATTTGGTCTTTGGTATAATATTTGATAAAGAGGGAGATTTTGCCCTAATTTTGATTAAATTATTTTTTTGTATAAATAATCGGGATTAGCATTGAAAATGTGAAATTGGAAGATTATGGATATAGATGATGAAATTAGATATGTATTATCTTACACTTTTGGAAGTTGTGAGTAAATTATTTATCTTGAGATTGAATATCTGTTTAGAAATAAATGTATTGGGCTATCGGTGGAGAATAGATATGATTGTTTTAGAACTTGCATGAGGATTAGGCGATTTAATGCTAATCAAATGTTGGTTGTCATTGCATATGACTATGTTTATAAATACACTGTATATGTACGCTTATTTGGGAGGAGAAAAGAGATGGACTCCGCTGAAAGCAAGTTGGCCGGAGTGTTCTAGGTGAAAGACCTAAAATTATATATATATATATATATATACATGGGTGCCAGTTCTTGCGGATGAAATATCCGTAAAATGGCATATTTGAGAATATATATATATATATATATATATGGGT